ATTAAAAGCATTTTATTAATTTTTACTGGCTAAATTTTTAATTTACATTTAATAATTTTGATTGTTACATTGTTTTGATCGATTTAACTAACTTGATAAAATAAAATTTTATTATGCATAAGTTCCTATACTTCATACGATGTTATTTCATCCATGTCTATAATATTTATAGCTGAATTCTTAAGGCGATCCGGAGGTTTTGACTTAACAAAATACTCTAACAAAAATGCAATATATTCTGAGTAATTTAGATTTGCGGTCTTCGCTTATATCACATAGTATGCGCAATAACGTAACAGTTATATTGTCACATGCTTCATGTTCCTGAGAGTTATTCTAGTCAATTTTGGTTAGTCTTTTAATAAAAAAAATTTTTCTATATTTATTTTTTCTTCCAATTATTTTAGCAGACAAATATGCCCGCTAACTACTGATGGTTTAAGGGATAGATAAATTAGTTTAAGTCTTAGTAGTTTATAAAATAGGATTTTAAAATTTATTGCACCAAGCAATACATTGCATCTGTTATACAATATAAATAATATATATCTATAGTTGCTATCGTTAGGCCAGAATTCTTTGTTCTATGATCACTATGAAGTAAACAAAAGCTGGGTTTAAATTCGAGACCAGATTCTTTGTTCTTCTATAGTTGTATTATGGTTTTGAATTTAAACCCAGATGTTTGTTTACATCATAATGATATCCATTCTTATATAAATAACGTAAGTCATATATTTTTTTCTCTTTTCACACGCATACTTACATACCCTTTTCTCTTTGTTGTTTACCAACGTACTAATACATGCACCTTCACTTTGTCATTTAATAACATACTAATACGTGCATTTATGATCCCTTCTTTTGGTCGCTGACTAAATACTAACACACTTATATGTCACTTCTTTTGGTCATTTATTAATATGCACGCTTATATTAACTATAGAAGATAAAAATAACGAAAGAATTTCAATAAACCTACCTGATGAAGTTACGGATAACGATAGTAATATTGATTTGTACCGTGGCAACATGGATGATGAGGCCTTGACTGAAGACGATGAAGCGTCATTTGAAAACGATGGATTCATCACACTAAAAAAAGGCCAAAGGTTTGATGATTTTGATCATGCAGAGAAGCACATACGAAACTATACAGAATATATGGGTTTCAAGATAGTAATGAGGCGAAGTACGGTAGTTCAAACTAATGAAGATGAGAAAGTAATGCGAAAAAGGGTGATTTATTGTCAGAATTTCGGTAGTTATCAACAAGCGAATCCTAAAAGCCAGGACGAACGATAAGACAAGGTTGTAAATGGCATATCAACCTCTCAAGACCTTCAAAAAATAATCCAAATTTACTTGTCTTTGTTACAACGTTTGTAAACGAACATAACCATAAAATGTAACCCAAGGCGCTGCAGTTTGAAAAGCTAAGAACATTTACAAATGAGATGAAGAAAGACATTGAGTTTTATGTAAAGGAATGTAATTTTGGTGCAACAATAATTAGACGGATTCTAAAAAAAAGTACTCCCTTCAGCCAGTTTATACAAAGGACCTCTATGCAGAAATTCAGCGGAATAAACCATCAGCAAGTTATAATAAAGCTGATGCAGCACGATTGTATAAAGAGTTGCAAGCCAAAAAATGTGAAGATCCAAGGTGGTTTGTTGAAGTAGCATGGGAATTGGAGACCAATACTCTCACTGGGATATTCTGGATGAGTCCAGAGCAAATTATTATATAGCACGAGTTTGGTGATGCAGTTGGTCACGATAATACTGCTGGAACGAATTAATACCATATGCCACTGTTGCTCTTTGTAATTATTGACGATAATATGAAATCAAGAGTAGTGGCCCAGGCTTTACTTAGTGATGAAACAACAGAATTATACCAATGGGTCTTACATATGACAAAAAAGGCAACACGAGGACGGGTTCCCAATATATTTGTTACTGACAGAGATCTTGCTATAAAAAGTGTGATAGTGACTGAATACCCCATAACCCATCATATTCTTTGTATTTGGCACCTGAAAGAAAACATTAAAAAAATGCTTCGTGGAAAGCTTAGTGGATCTTTTAATAATTTTTATTCTTCTTTTTGGAAATGTCGTAATGCTGATACACCTGATGTTTTTTACTATTATTGGGAGGAAATAACAAACAATTACCCAACTGCATGCATATATCTTCAGAACCATTTGTATAATAGACGTAAATCGTGGGCCCGTGGATTTACAACTACATTGTTTACACTTGGTATCGAATCTACATCATTTGTAGAAAGTCAAAATGCATGCCTTAAACACATTATTGAAAGTAGCAACACATCTCTTTATGAACTTGGAAAAGTTCTAATAGACAGTGTTGAAGACAATATAAGACAGAAGCACTATGAAGAAATAACTAGAGGTGTCCCTTTTACGGTTAATACCATAACAATTTTTACAAAAATTGAATCACTTATCAGTCGTTACTTGCATCCAAATGTAGTACAATTTTTGGTTGGTCAAATGAAGGAGAGTGTATTTTACATTTCATTCCGTTCTAATATTGAAGAAATTCAAAACATGACCATGAATAAGCCATCTGAGAGTGATAATTTTAAAAACGAACCAGATTGTGTGTTTTTATGTGCTCAATTTCTTCTTCAGCAATTGGATTGTTCTAATATTAAAGAGGTGTGGAAAGTTTCTAGAGTTACAAGGCAAAATATCAATCATGTGGTTTTTTGTCTTACAGACGGATCATATAGTTGTACTTGTTTGTTACAACAGAAGCAGGGACTGGTTTGTAGACATCATTTTCACCTTCTAAACATCACAAAGGTAGCACGATTCAACATACAGCTTATTAATATACGATAGATCTCTGAAATGATGTAATAACAGAACCTGATTATTATGGACAACAATTTGTGAATAACATTGTAGCTTCTGATGAAGATCAAGAACTAAATTATAATCAGCATTTTAAATGGCTCCAGCCATTAAATAATAAT